ACTTCCAGCTTTTCTCCATCCTCCAGTCTGGTCAGAGACAGCAGGTCGGCCTGGATGCTGTTTCTCTTTAGCACGCCCTGCCATCCGTCTAGTTTCACATTTAGATCATGCCCAAAGTTGCAGTTCTCCCCCAAAGACAGGCCGCTCTGCAGGACCACAGAAAACCACGTCACTGCATCAGCATACCCCTCCTCAGACACATCTGTGCTCTGCTCCCTGCTCTGGCAGTGTGACTGCCGATTTGGCCCTGCCTTCACACCGGCAGCTCTCCTGATCAGCTCCCGGATCGCTTCTCTGTCCAGCACCTCCAGCAGAAGCTCCCTGGCTGTGTAGTAAACCTGGCAATTGGGGCTGGGCCGAGTCTTTGTCAGAGGCTTCACCTTTTTGGACTTTTGGAAGATATTCGGTAAGCAAAGGGTGTCCCTCTGGGTAGCTTCACGCGGTATGTCCACCAGGTGGCAGTCCTCGGACATCCAGGCGCACTCCTTCACTGACAGAGCTTTGGCCTTCATCGTTCAACCTGTGCGCGCTAAGAAAAAGCCATCTCAAAATATGTATTTGTTTGGGAGCAAAAGGAGGAGATAGCCTCAGACGGCGGTATTTTTAATATCCTGTGTGCTATCCGGAAAACTGTGTGTGCTGTTCATGTTCATCTGATCCTCAGGTGAATCCAGCGCTCAGGAGAATCCGCTTTTAGGTAAATCACCTGGGATCCGCAGTAGCCAGACAACTGTGTCCTGGCAACGTAAACACAGCGCTCGTGACGCGCTTCTGGCTTGTGGTGCGCGTGACTCCAGGATTTAACTTGTCATTTAGCAAAACACTAAGAAGAACTAACTCACGGAGAATGTGTTTACTGTGTATCTGTCGGGTATCGTTTGAGCTACATGCAGTTCTTCAGAGTCTCCACTAGATGGTGCTCTGTAGTGAACCAGTGCGGCTTATGGGAACCTACCAGGGACGTTAAACTGTGTGTTTTCAAAACAAAACAGGAACTTTTCTGTAATTGTTATTGTTTATCTATTACTTAATTACTTTGGTGTAGTTTGAATGGCAGTGATTGAGGTCTTTATCAGTAGGAAATGTTGTAAAACCTTTGAAACTACAGTTCAAAGTCCAAATTCAATGCCCTCTGTTACATTTTCCAAAGCTGCCCTGTGGGCCAGATTGGGGTCTTTGATGGGCCGATTCTGGACCACGGGCATTGTGTTTGACACCCCTGCTCTAATCTGTTTTTAATAATTAATTTTTTTAAAACACCTGACCAGGTGTGGCAGTTTCTCTTCCGCTGAAGTGTCCTCACTGGTATTGCGTACTGGTGATGGCATCCAACACGTCCCTAACTCCACCCTATATCATAACCTCCTGAAACAACCCCTATACTGCCGGTAAAACGTCTATAATGGGGCAGGGGTCTGGAAGAGACCCCAGAAGGTGCAAGAAAAGAGCAGGAGTCCCTCCTTCAGGTAAAAATGTTGAGGATCTGTTTTGAACAAAGCCATGTAGCATATTAAAAGTAAAGACTGTCAACCTGTATACACAAAGGCAAAGGGATCAGCATCCAGGATTGTACCCAGATCTCTGCAGTAAAGGTGCAGTTGAATCCATTTTAAGTATTGAGTTGGCCCATTCATTTTGTGTGCTGGTAATTGTTGCTTTGTTTTGCGGTTGGAGTTGCAAAGGTATGATCTTAGGTCTGGATTACTGTTGCAAAACAGTGAAAGGGCCAGTGATGGAAGCAGATACCGGTAAAGCTTTGTGGTTTTGATGGATCATATGGGTGGGGTGTTCAACCAAAATGCTTTTTTTTAAACCTGAGACAAACTATGAGTGTAAATATGTGTTAATTTACCTGTGATTAAAACTCAATTACTGGGCTCTTAAAAGAACAAATGGTAGCCGAGCTCTGTTTGGTTGCCTTTTTTATTAGTTATTTTGTGGCTCCAAGCAATAGGAAAAAAATACATATTTAAAGTGAATGGCTGTGAAAGCTAGTCGTATGATTTCAGTTTTTTTCTTATCCACACAGCAGCCTGGAGAAACAGACCTGAAAGCTGCAAATAGCTTGATCTGTTTCCCAACAAGCAGAACAGCTCAAGTTCATGTGCCTTGCTCAAGGGTCACAACTTGCATCAATAACAGCAGGAATTGGGAAAGTTGGGTAAAGGTGACACCACTTTGGATTAGAAGGAATTGAGGAAAAGTGTGGGGGTTAGCACTGCTGCTTCAGAGCAAGAAGGTCTTGGGTTCAAATCCACCATGTAGTTAGGGCCTTCCTGTGTGGAGTTTTCATGTTTTCCCTGTGCCTGTTTGGGTTCTCTCCGGGTGCTTCGGTTTCCTCACACAGTCCAAAGACATGCAGTTAGTGGGTTAACTGGTGATTCTAAATTGCCCATAGGTGTGAACGTGAGTGTGAATGGTCATCTCTCTGTGTTAGCCCTGTGAGAGACCGGTGACCTGTCCAGTGCGTATCCACCTCTTGTCCTAAGACAGACAGGATCGATTCCATGCTCTGTGACCCTAAATTAGATGTATGGCATTTCTTACGGGCAAAGAAATCAAATATAGCGCCCTCAACTGTGACATTTGTTGAGGGAGCACACACACACACACACACAAAAGGGTGTGACCTTGACCCAGTTTTCACCCAAATTAAGTCAGCTTGAGGTGTTACTGGTGTCTACCATTCCACAAAATTTTAAAATGACATCTTGAAGTCTGTGGCTGCTAGACTCCTAACAAACAGATAAAGAAACCACAACTGATCGTATACTCCCTCCCTTGTGGGAGAGAAAAATGTTACTCCAAATAGTTTTTTGTTCTCCACATAGTAAGCAGCCATAAAGTCTACAGTTACCAATTCTGGGTAAGTCATTGAAAAAGCTTAAAGGTTTTTCAGGATTGAGTTTTGGTAAAACATTAAATGGACTGCTCATATTATCCAAAAAGCAAACCATCAAGCGGGAGACCTTGTGTATCTGTCTCCAGGATGGCAGACATGCAGGCAGGCGCATTTCTGTTGAATATGTCCCCGATCAAACAAAGATTTAATATTTAACATATAAGTCCCTCAAGAGCAACTAGAAAAAGATTAACTGCATCACAAGTGGCAGTGATTGCCCTGGTGAATTATCTAAAACATAACAAGTTCCACATGAGTGGTGAATTAAAGGAAAAACAAAACAAAGAACAATGTGAAGTTTCTTGGGAAGTGCTCCAATGTGCCACTAGGACAACTTTACTGCACCTTGGCACGATGCTGTGACTGAGTTTCTAGTAATGTATTTGATGAATGGAACACCTTTTTACAAATGATGTTCCCTTATTATTTATTTTGACGATTCTGCACTACAGATGGGGGCATTTCCATCCTAGAAGAAACAGCTCCCATTAGGATAGAAGGGTTTTATCACAGGATGAAGATGATTTGCTCTTTTTTTTTTTGCCACCAGATCCCTTTTCCATAGTGATTTAATGGTTCAGGTTTTTCCTTTAATTTGTCACCCATCTGTGCATTTGTGTAAACTGTCTCTACTGCTGCTTTTCTTATCAGTAGGTGGTGCGAGGTTGGATCCAGAGGTGCAGACGTGAACCGGTGTGAACCTGTGAGTTCCAGTGTCATGGATTTGAGTTCACCATCCTCAGTGACACTGGTGCTGTTGTTTCACAGAGCTGCTCGCAACAGCACCAGATCAGTTCAAGAAATTAAGTCTGCTCACTTCCAGCCAAATTACTCAGCCAACATTTTGTGTTTTGACAAAACACGTATTTGCCTTCGTTAGAGCTGATCCAACATTCGCCATATGTGAACAGATAATCTGCTCGAAACCCTAATCACAGATAATATCACAAGCGATCTGGCTGTGAAATGCAGATAAATTTGGCAGAGAGGACGAAAACGAAGAGGGTGTCGCATCTCTATCTAAATTGCAAACACGAGCCTCACGAATGCCCGCGTTCATTTCACGGCAATCCTGCTTTCTGATTAAAGCTCGCCTGATTTTTTTACCTGTAGCCTCTGTAAAATTATAATGACGTCATTCTTTCTGAGAAAGTGGCACATTTCTTTTTTTTTTTGTAGGAAAACTGCATAATTCTAACTCATGAGATGAATTTTAAAGGTGTTTTTCCACAGCGGATCTAAAGTATATGCCGAGTGTCGTGATAATACCCTGCCTTCTGTCACCGGGGGTGGAAGAATCGCACAATTACCTCGAGGGCTCGGGAAGCTCTCTTGCATAAATCACATCCACTTTACGCTTAAAATATGTTAATCCATTAATATCAAAGGGCATCGTCTCTCCTTCAGCACACTCTTTGAGCTTTGTCTAATTTCTAATTCATTTAGACCCAAAGAAACATAATCAAATAACCACTGTTTACAAAATGTGTTTCAGTCTGAAGTGTCCACTTCAAGTCTCCCACACACCGAGTAGAAAATACTCCCCCAAAAGGTGATGATTTTATTTCATGTAGGAGTTTGAAGATAGGCAATAGTTTGCATCGTAATACCACTCAAATCCTTAAATTATCTTCTGAAGACATTATTCCTGCCCCCATTCTGCTTCTCCTTTGTTCTGTTTGTGATTGAAGACAGGTCAGAAAATCAGCTACCCTGCACATCGTGTTTCTGGAAACTCTTCTGTTGTCTGCAAAATACATGAACACAGATTTTAAACCAAGTAAATATGATCCAGAGTTGTCTCTTCATTTGAAAATGACAGGCTAGTTCTCTTTCACACATGCCCATGTCCAACATCACTTATACTGTAGATTCATTTTGAGATCTTTTAATTTCTAGTTACATGAGTTAAATATTTGTAGGAATCAAATCCCTGCTTGCACCTGACTCATTTTAGATTAGACTAGAAAAAGAGAAAATGTATTCTTTGTTTTTGAGTTTGAGTTTGTACAATCTTGAAAGTCAATAATTGGTAGGGCTCCATCTTTTTTGGATTTTAACTGCCTTTTGTTCTACTTTCTCTCAACACGATCACACACTGCTTCAGTAATGTCGAGGTCCAGGCTCTGGGGAGGCCAGTCCACAACTGATAGTGTTTACTGTGTGATTTTTCTACTGCATGGTGGATCTGGGATCATCTGACAGCACTTTTCTGTGATCATAATTCCATCAGTTTTCTGTCATACCTCTCTCCTGACCTCCAGACATCCCCCAATAAGACCTGTTGCCACCACATTTTCAGTCAGTTCATGTGTAATTTGCCATAACTCCAACTTTTCTTCCTGTTTCCCTTCTTTAGGAATGACATGATGATTTCTGGCGAGGCTTCAGTGAACAGTAGACGGATCAGCTGAAGAGCCAGATGCATCTCTCACATCCTGGTGAGATATCTGGTGTTTCCCACATTTTCTCTATTTAATAAGGACATGATTTTCAGTTCTTCTGCTGCAGATAGTTCTCAGTACTTCCTCAGATTTTTTTAGGATGCCATGCTAACACTTGCCAAGTTTTCGGCAAATTTCATGTCTGCCAGACTGTGTTATCTTTGACATTCCTCATGGACTAAAATAGAAGAATGAGAGCAAAATATCTGTTTTTTGAGGGGGTTTTGGCAACAAGCTGTTGGTAACAAACTGTCTAAAGATAATCTAAAAGATTACATGTATTTATCTGTGGCTACTCTCGCCCGTGTTTTTCTTAATTGCTGTTGTGTCATTTTAACATGTGTTTGTCTCACTTTTTCAGTTTTTTGTAAACAGCTCTCTTTGGAAAAAAAGACATCTTGATTTCATTGAGAATACCTGTTTAAATTAAAGATTTATTAATAATTATAATAATAATTACAGAAATAGTTAGGCACAGTCCTTTGACGTTGTTATGAAAGAAGATGTGTTTATGCCTCAGTCAATAAGAAGGCAGTAAAACTGATGATGATGATCCTCGGTCTAATTTAAGAAAACTGGCGTGAGAACGACTCAGGTCACGATCGGATGGAAATATTTACCAGAAGCAAAATTACGTAAACACTGGAGGTGAAACATAATTTGTGATGCTTCCTCATTTTTTTCTTTTCTGTCTTTCTTTTTTCTGGATGAATCAGCAGAGAACATTGCATCGCTACGTTTTTCTGTAAAGTGCAGGTGTACCCTGGTAGGTTTTATAACATGCACACACACACAGACACACACACACGGACGCGTAAGCGTGTATGCATGTTTAAGTAGTACTCTTTTGTGCCTTCTGTGGTGGAAAATGCATTATGCTGAGCTTCAGTCAGACAATACAGTGTAATGTACGTGGCAGTCTGCTGCCGAGATACGCATCAGCTGTGTACCTCTGTTGTAAACTGAGCTCTCTGTGTGTCTGTAATGACACCGCAGTGGAAAAAAGTCCACTTCCTGGACAAGGTCAACATTGTTTTGGAAAAAATAAGGACTCATTATTATGGCAGGAATGTGTGCAGGTTTTTGGGGTTTTTTTCTTTAGCCCTGCTTGGAAAACTGGCCACTGTGTGGAAAATGAGGACTGATAAGACTCTCTCTCCCCCTCTTTCTCTGACTCACTCTTTCACTTTCATTTTTTTTCTCAGTCATGCTCAGCCACATAAATACAGATCTGCCATTACTGGTCAAAGGCTTGGGATCACTTCAAAAGATCCTTTTTTGATAGAAAAGCACATTTATTATTGTCTAATGGAACAATATATTGATTAGAAATTGTTTAAATAACAATGAATTCCTAATGGAGTCACAATATTAAAACCATTGACAGATGACTTGAATAACAGTCATTATCCTCTTACAGTGCAATGTTCTTCTGGGGAACTTTGGGCCCTGTCTCTTTGACTGAGTGTGCAGTGTTTTGGTAATCATGCTCCCTGATGACAGCAGCCTTGCCCAGCTGGACAGAGTTGACCCAGCTTCCAAACATCTCAGATGTCAATGCAAAGCATCAGTGGGATGCTTTGGAACAAACCCAATCCATGGAGTCCCCACACCACAACGCCCCAAAGCTGGACACCACAGAACAACCCAACGGGTCATGTGTACATGGGTGAGAGCACGAGGGAGGCCTGCACAATATTTATGTTTTCAACAGAACGGCAGTCAGAGAGTCAGCAGAGACAGAGCTGCAAAAACCAGTGCCATGTCTGAGGCTGACAAATAAAAGGAAAAGTTCTTAGCACTCTAAGGCCACGTTCACACTGCAGGCGAAAGCGCATCAAATCTGACTTTTTTGACCCTATGCGACTCATATCCGATCATGGTATGACAGTGTGAACAGCAAAAAATCCAATATTTTCAAATCCGACCTGGGTCACTTTCGTATGTGGTACTGAATCTGATACATATCTGATGTTTTAGAAAGCGACTGCTGTGTGAATGGTCATGTCGCATTAAATCCGTCTTTTACGTCACTGACACAAGACAGACGCCTATTATCAGCGCCCGAGAAGACATCGTGAACGCTTCCTGGCCATCCAGTCTAGATGTTAGTGAAACTGTTGGAAAGACAGCGTTGTGGAAACGTGAACATTTTATTTGTACTGTATAATCTGCAGATTCTGACAGAAATCTGCAACTATCCTTTGAAGCACCGCTCCTCTAAAACAGCAATAAGGATCATTATTAGGCCAAATGTAAATAACAACATAACTTTATAACTTAAAGCAAAATTGGAAAACGTAAAGTCTGAAACAAGTGTTTCATATTAAGGCCATCAGTCAAACAATACTGTTTGGTCTGGGTCTAAACAGAGCGCGTTGTGTGTGACGTCTTCTTTTGCGCATGCAGGCCGCTTTGAGGGTTCACACTAGATCGCGTTTGCTGTCACATTTTATTTGTAGTGTGAACAAGCAAACAAAAAAATCGGATTTGATCAAAAAATCGGAATTGAGCATTAAGACCTGCAGTGTGAACAGAAGGAGGTAGTTTTGCGGCTATTCGGAGACTGTAATCATAAACCATTCAGCCCAATGGTTTAATGATCAATGTCGAGGAGGGAAATTATTTTACTGCTATAGTTAAATAATTGTCATCATTACCATTGCATTAATAATATAATCTGCAGCATGGATATTGCATTCCAAGGTTTAAACAGTGTCTCTTTCAGAAAGACTGAGTTGCAGGCTGACAGGAAGTTGTATGCAGAAAGAAGCAGGAAGTTATTTTGAGCCGCAGGCTAAGACGAGGCTTTAACAATGTAACAGATAGCTTTATCATTTTATATTAAGGTTTTAGTAGAGGTTCTTGATTAAAACATTTATTTAGTAGAAGACATACACATAGTCTCAGTGAGCTTCTGGTCTGGTAAAAGGTCAGAAGTGTAAGAGGTGACACAAAGAGCATGTGAGGTCAACACATACACACACATACACACTTTAAATTAGATTTATTTAGAGGAAGAGGTTAGTTATGTTTGGCTGTAACTGCAAAATTGTCTTGGTAAAAAAGGAACCGTTTCTTGTTGTCTCGGCAAGAAAGAGGAACAATTCATTTTAAGATAAGAACGGAAAGTACCAAGCCATGAAAATAGAAGATGATTTTCTAGGGGAAAAGTCATGAGGATGTTGATCTGATCTATGTATAAAATGTGTCTGTGACGTATGAAGGGGCGTCAGTAAATAAACCCTGATGCTATAAAATATCTGTTCATGCTTTGATTAAGTCGAAGACTACTTCCTGTCTGCGTACAGAGTTCTCTTCCCACGCGTGTATTCATTAAAATCATCGTTTGACTTTACCCGGCCGGATCGGTGTGGTTATTCTTCGATCACCTCTTGTACCCTTCCTCAATACTGAATCTTAACATTTGGGGGCTTCGTCCGGTTATTGAGGAGGGTGAGTTGGAGGTTTGGACGGAGAAATCCGGGGTCTTGGGTGGTCTGACGGGCAGACGTGAATTCCAGTGGTCTAAGTGAGTGGGCATAAGCCGGCTTATCCAAAAGGTAAGGCACTACCTGTTGAATTATTTCCAAAGTGTGCCAAATTGGACATGATAAAATTTAAGTCTACTCACTGAAGTTACTGGTGGATGTCTGTTTTGATTTTGATGAAAATCTCATGAGTTGAAGCAGTTAGAGTTCTGCTAAGAAGAAATGAAAGTAGTTAAGAGTCTGATAAGAAAAGTTTAAATACTGGGTTGAAGTCCCAAAGGAATTGAGTTAGAGTCTCAAGTAGTTTGGTAGGGAATTGGTTATTGTGTTGGTTAGAGTCCAAATTTGGTCATAAGAGTGGACCTGAGCGGTCATTTTGTGAGTTGGAGTCTCCATTTGACCACTAGGTTGCACCTGCTTCAGTTATACACTTGTTTCGGGTGTTGATTGTTGTTTCAAAGTATTATAAATTATTCTAGAACGGCAGTTCGAGTCTGCTAGGAAGCGCAGAGCCCGGAGGTTACGCTCCCTCCTTGTCGTGGACGCGCGACATTGACCTCTCGGCGAAGAGGGTTAGTTCAGTGTGGTTTAGCTGTGGGGTACAGGGCATCCCGGAATTAAGCTAGGAGTTAGAGTCTCCTTACCGTTTGCAACGGTACCTGCGCTTTTTTGGACAGGAGAAGTTGGTCTTCGGGCGTGTAACTTTAACTTAACACTTCGGGGTAAGCCTTGGCTGTGAAATGCCAAAAATAGAGCTTCAGGCAAAGTTTGGGTTGGTTGACGCTTTTAAATTGAGTTAGGGATTTTAGAAATGAGGCCAGAAACAGTTAAAGTCTTGATACTGGTTAATTGGTGGGCGGTTATTTTAAATTTGTCTAAATTGGTTAGGCGCTAAAGCTGACAGATCTGACAGTAGTTGTAAATATAAGACGTCTTTGTAATAAGAGATCTCTGTGTGAAAGGAGTCTGAGGCAATGCTGCTGCTATTTTTAGACGGTGTGTGTGAGTGAAAATGCAAATGAGTAAGCAGTGAACTGTTTAAGCCACAGTTGGTTTTACAAATAGTGGTGCATACAGTGTTGAGTGTGTGTTTAAAATGCCATTTATGTTTAGTAGAGGACTATAAATAAAGTTTTGAGTTGCCGTAGTGGATGTATAGTAATTGACTGAGTTTGGATGTAGATAGATAAATATATTGAGTGCATTGTGTATATTTAAGACTAACACATCACTTTCAGTAGTGATTTTTCTCCAGCATTAGTTGCTGGTGGGTTTTATTTTTCAATTTCTTGTGTGTGCGGTGAGAATTAATGGCGGTTTCAATTTTTTGTTTGTTTGTTTTTTACTTGCTTTTTTGATTATGACAAGCATGTCTAAAAGACTCTTAGGAAAGTGTTTTTAATTTGAGAGAGGCATGAGTGATGTTATAAGAGTTTAGCTTATTTAAAAGGTGTGTGTGAGAGGATTATGAAATCATTGTGTGAATGATGCTACATTTTAGGTCAAAAGTTAATAGAATTACAGAGGGTTTGTAGATTGTAAATACAAAATAAGTTTGATTAGCCTGGAGAAACAGCAAAGCAGCTTGAGCTGCTCTGAGCAGCTGCGTGCGGTGTGTGTGTAACAGGAAATGGTGTGGGTGACAGGAAGTTTGCATGCCCATATAAGGTGATGTGTGAACAGAGGAAGTCTGAGAGAGAAGTGTGTGTGTAGGCAAAAGGCAGAGTGTGTGCGTGAAATAAGGGAGTATTGTTTTTACATCAAGGTTTAGTAGAACTAAAGTAGAACGTTACAAACAAACAGATAAATAAAGTAAAATGAAGAGAGAAAATAACTGACAATTACATTAATGAATAGAAAACACACATACACAAAGTGCCATATGTGAAATTATTCTAGGAAGGAGTCAGAATTGAGATAGCTTATTATAGAGATAGGTTAATATAAGATGCAATGAAGGAAGCAGCTTACATTCCTTTAATTCCCAGAGCCAGTGTGTTCCCTCCCCTGCCCACTTGGGCCCCGTATCAGGCGAGTATGGAAGGCTGGATAGCCCATGACGGGTAAGATCCCACCTCGAAACCCTGGGACAACCTAAGGCAGGCACAGTCACGATTACTCTCAGGCCTGACGGGTAAGACCGCTGGGCTAGGGTGGAGGTGGAAAGTGGCAAGTGGAGCCCTACCTTCTGGCTGAGGACAAGGAATGCTGCTATTTAAGGTAGGAAATCAGAATTTGGGTTAGTAAATTTGGGGAGGAGAAAATTGACTGTTTAAAGGCAAAATTATGAAGGAGTCTGACACACTGTAAAAGCACCATATGCAAATTCACACACACAAACAGAAAATGCATTAAACTTATAAAGACAAGACAAGCTCGTGGAGTATAATGCATAGACACTGATTAAACCTAGCTAAGAACACAAACATAGGCAATGAAGAACAGCTTGCTATCTTGTATGAATGATACAAGGGTGTGAATGTTTAATAAAATGCATTTGAGTTTGTAATTGAGGAATAGAATAAGCCATATGACGAAGGGAGTTATGAAAACGAAAAAGGGATTAAAGTAGTTTTAAAAAAGAGTGACTTAGGAGTGCTCTCGTACTGAGTGATCAACACTAGTGATCACTGTTGGAAGAAATAAAATGATTTAATGAGTTGGGAATGTTTAAACATATGTTTCTGTTGTTACAGCTTCTTGAGAGATGACTCAGTATGCAAATTAGCTGGAGTGTGTGTGTGACTGTGACTTTCAGGAAGAGGAAGCATAGCAGAGACGAGAAGTGCAGATTGGGGTAGGGAATTTATAGTTTAGTGATTATATGATGTCGTAAGGGGTCTTATGCTGAATTTAAGAGTATAAGGGGGTGATTTTTGTGTGCAAATTGAGTGGTTTTAATGAGACTTTTGGTGTATTGAGGAGGTGAAATTATGTGGTGGCAAGATTTGTGTGTTTAAGGTTGTTGTGGTGATGGGTTGATTCTGTCAGGTAGGTTGTTGGTGTTTTTGTTTTTAATAGAGGGAGTTTTAGGAAACATGGACATGTCTAAAATTGGGCCCATTATTTTGTAACAGTGCACTTAAAGAAAACCTGTCAGGTGATTTTGTTTTGTTTTTATGAGCTAACAATCAGCTCTATTGTTTCCATTTTTGTTTTAAGCAGGCCTGCAACGGCGCTGAAAATTCTCGGGAGGAGCAAATATAAGGCGGCTTTCCAGATTACAATTGGCTGAGGAGAAAGCTACCTGGGGACTGATCAAGGTCGTAAGTCCCTGTAAAAAGGATTTTATGCGAGTCAATCCAGTCCAAAAGCATAAAGAAATATTTTCCTATGGAAAATAAAAAATGACTGAGCTCATTTTGCTGAGGGTGGAGTATCTGATCGTGCGGGAAGCTCCACTATCAGCAAATATATGGTGTGACTGCATGTGAGTGAATGTGTGACTGGATGAATGTGAGGGTGAATAAATGTGGACAAACAATTTGTTTTTACCAGAGAAAATTTCTGTTTTGTTTTATTAGGTGGGGTTAGATTATGGGATTATAGTATATTGTTGGGAGAATGCCAAATGCTAAAGGGGAAATATTTTTGATGTAACTCAGTTACCATTAATTGTAGAAACACATGACTGATAACTGTTCTGTTTTAAGTTTATTTTTATGACATAGATTGGATCATGAGTGGGGAAAACTGAGCAGTTTTAAGTTTTGTATAGTATCTTGACACATGAAATGTATCAAGATAAAGGGGGGTTTAGGGTTTAATAATTTAATTGTTTAATAATTTAGGATCATTTTAGGACCTTTTGGGTTTTTGATCATTTGGATATGGTAAAACTGAAACTGTTATTAAAAGTGAACTTGTCACGGTTTGCGAGGCAAGCCGTGTGGAGTTGTAGAAAAGGACCCAAAAGGCGGCAGCTCTGGTGCAGGTGAATATTTATTTACAACGGTGGGCACAAAACAGCACTGGTGGAAAAACAACCTAAACTGGGTAAGCTAATAACACAAACCAGAAACGAGGATGCAGGGAGGTCCGGGGAAATACACAAGAGACGCAGGGAGACCGAGGGGAAACAACACAGACGAACCAGCAACTACCATAACAGAAGACACAATTTAAATACACCCAGAGAGCACGGGGAGAACACAGACATAACAGGCTGGGGAAACATGGAATAAACACAAAGAGAGACGAGAGCTCATAAATACACAGAGGGGTACAAAGGGGTAAGAGTCACAAAGGAAAAATACAAGGAACCAAGAATACTGGGCCAACATGGCCCAGGACCATGAATCCTGTTTAGAAGATACAATGCCGGTTTTTCAAAGCTGTGAATAATTCTTAGAGGGAAAATTAGTGAGGGTTGAAGGGGTAGAACAGCTTTGATTTCTTTTTGATTTCTAGAAGTAGTGGTTATAATGTAGGCGTACACATACAGATATTATATAGGAGGTATTTTTAGGATAAAAGGGGGAGCTTATAAATAGAAATGATTTTTATACATATTGCATTTTGTGCTTTTAAAGGAGTTGTGGCTCAAATTTGTCTCTGGAGGGTCATGAGCCTTTGGCTAGCGCTATGATTAGCCAATCTACTGTGAGGATAATATGAGTTCATGAAGGATTGCACACGCTTACAGACACAGAGTTAAGAAACACACATGACAGTATTGATTCCAGGCAAAAGGCCCTAAATTCATTTAGCTTTTAACTGAACTTAAAGAAGGACCAAAGAGGAAGGAAAGCAGATATTTTGGTTAGGTCTGATAAACTAGAATTAGGAGGTATGGTTACATTAAAAGGAGCAAAATGAAATAAAAAGGCTATACCAAAATGGGTTATAACATAGGAAATGTGAGGTTAAAATGAAGTTAACACATAGGAGTTGTTTCAAGGCAGCATTTAGCTATGAGGAAATGTATACAGGAGTAATTGCTTATATGCTTAAACTTAATTGATTAAAGTGGTTGTTTTCTTTTGGAGTAGATTAACTTGCAGCAGCGACAACTTGTGCACAGGATGTTGATGATCAGATAAGGGAAAATAGAGCGAGCAACTGGACGTGAAAGCAGGGCTTAAAGAGTTCTAAAGGGATGAGTAACGTTGAAGAGTATACATAAATACAAGTCAATAAGTTAAGAAGATAATTAGGATCAGGCTTTTGATTAAAGAGTCCCAGATAGGATAAGTTAGGGAGATGCAAGAAAAGGTGTTTTGTTTCCTTTGCAGAAGATCTCGGCGACCACAGGAGGGGCGAGGATCCTGGAGATCTCGAGGTTCGAGACCACCAGAGAGGGGTCTGCGTGAGGACACAATGTATTGTGACCTCTGGTTTTCCAGAGGTCAAAAGGGGGAGTGTCGAGGAGGGAAATTATTTTACTGCTATAGTTAAATAATTGTCATCATTACCATTGCATTAATAATATAATCTGCAGCATGGATATTGCATTCCAAGGTTTAAACAGTGTCTCTTTCAGAAAGACTGAGTTGCAGGCTGACAGGAAGTTGTATGCAGAAAGAAGCAGGAAGTTATTTTGAGCCGCAGGCTAAGACGAGGCTTTAACAATGTAACAGATAGCTTTATCATTTTATATTAAGGTTTTAGTAGAGGTTCTTGATTAAAACATTTATTTAGTAGAAGACATACACATAGTCTCAGTGAGCTTCTGGTCTGGTAAAAGGTCAGAAGTGTAAGAGGTGACACAAAGAGCATGTGAGGTCAACACACACACACACACACACACTTTAAATTAGATTTATTTAGAGGAAGAGGTTAGTTATGTTTGGCTGTAACTGCAAAATTGTCTTGGTAAAAAAGGAACCGTTTCTTGGTGTCTCGGCAAGAAAGAGGAACAATTCATTTTAAGATAAGAACGGAAAGTACCAAGCCATGAAAATAGAAGATGATTTTCTAGGGGAAAAGTCATGAGGATGTTGATCTGATCTATGTATAAAATGTGTCTGTGACGTATGAAGGGGCGTCAGTAAATAAACCCTGATGCTATAAAATATCTGTTCATGCTTTGATTAAGTCGAAGACTACTTCCTGTCTGCGTACAGAGTTCTCTTCCCACGCGTGTATTCATTAAAATCATCGTTTGACTTCACCCGGCCGGATCGGTGTGGTTATTCTTCGATCACCTCTTGTACCCTTCCTCAATACTGAATCTTAAGATCAACTAGCCATCTAACATTATGTACTTGCATAACACAATGTGCCATTGAAACACAGGAGTGCAATATTCCATTAAATATCATAAACAGTTTATAATTAGTGATTGTGTAATTAATCAGAATTGTTTATTCTTTACACAATTCTAAGAAAGAAAAAACATACCAAGAGCGCTGTGCTAACACTGCTCCATAACAGTGGTCTAAATTTCATAGGTACCTTAAAGTAGCACCAGCCAGAAGAGGGTGTGCATATAACACAAACGTTGCATCTATGACTCAGCGTACCTCATCTAAAGCATCGCCGTAATAATTGATTATGAACGAACAGTCGACACAGTGAGAATCTGTAGACTTTCTGAGACCTGAACCTTTAGTCCTGCACACAGCAGGTGATTCCTTCTCAGGGACTCTTTTTGTTTTCCTTGCAGACACGCTGAGAGGGAAGTGAGGAAACTCTCCCCAGAATGCATGTCAGAGATATTATAACAAAGAGAGGGAGGGAGAGAGCATGATGGCACCTAAAGAATCCAACACTGGGATCTCTGCTTTCAATACGATACTCCCGGACAGACTAATAGATAAACTGCTGGAAATTGGACTTCCTTCCACCACCTGCCGCTGGATCAGAGACTTCCTCTCAGACCGTGTACAGAGAGTTAGAGTGGGGCCTCATCTTTCCTCAGCCCTCAGCCTCAACACCGGCTCTCCACAAGGCTGTGTACTGAGTCCCCTACTGTACACTCTGTACACACATGACTGTGTTAGTTCCCACCCAGACAACACAGTCATCAAGTTTGCAGATGATACCACTGTGGTGGTGCTCATCTCAGGGGGAGATGAGACTGCATACAGAGCTGAAGTTCAGAGGCTGTCAGATTGGTGTGCAGACAACAACCTGGACCTCAATACCACCAAAACAAAAGAACTGGTAGTTGACTTCAGAAGGAGGAAGTCCGAGCTGCAGCCTGTCAGCATCAACGGGGAGTGCGTGGAAAGGGTCTCCAGTTTCAAGTTTCTGGGTGTGCACATAGACACAGACCTCCAATGGAGCTCTAACACCTCTGCGGTCTTAAAGAAGGCCCAACAGCGTCTCCACTTTCTGAGAATCCTCAGAAAAATGGACCTGAAGAAGGAGCTGCTGACCGTCTTCTACCGCTGCTCCATTGAAAGTGTGCTGACATATTGCATCGGTGTGTGGTTCTCCAGCTGCACCACAGCACACAGAAAGGCACTCCAGAGGGTCATCAACATGGCCCAAAAAATCATTGGACATCCTCTTCCCTCCCTGAAGGACCTGTACAGCACTCGCTGTCTCAAGAGGGCACGCAGCATCCTACGGGACTGCACACACCCAGGACACCGGGTGTTTAAGCTGCTGCCGTCTGGCAGGAGGTTCAGGCTGCTGAGGTCCCGAACAAATAGACTCAAGGACAGCTTTTACAACAGGGCAATAGCCCTGATCAATGTAAATAGCTGACCTGACTGGATACCTCCCTGGACTTTTTAGGGGGAGGTAACAATGTTTAAAACGATAACAATAATATTTATATTTATAACAAGGTGCAATAATAATTAATGTGCAATAATAACAGTGTGCAATACACATACACTTATTCTTCTTTTTTATACTAAGTTAATATACTGTGTTGTGTTGTTTGTTACGTTGTGATGTGTCATATCGTGTCGTGTTGTGTTATATGTAGTGCCGACGTAGGACAGTTTTTCCAATTTCATTGTACTACTGTACTATGTATGACTGTGCAATGACAATAAAGAGTTATCTTATCTTATCTTATCTTATCTTATCTTATGGGAGAACTGTGCAACAGCAAAGATGGTCTCCAAAAAGAACACGGATATATTTAAAACCTTATTTGTGGGACAAAGTCTGCAAACCTGTTTAAGCTGTTTCTACTCAGAATACATGCTTGAAATTAAAGTTCATTTAGATCAAGCTTCAGCATAATTGCCCAAGTAAGTGTTGGGAAGCATTTCAGTAGTGGCAGACTAGTTTCAAGAAGCACTTTGGTCCTAATAAATCACTTTATTACTACAATCTAATTTAGTAAAATGGAACATGTTGATTGTATAACACCACAAAATGTCATATTTTTGTCCTTTCCGTTGCTTATGCACACACACATGCACACAAAAGAAAATTGTTTCATAATGGACCCTCTTCAGCTAAATTGGTCGTCTCTGTGTAATAAATGGGCTTCACTGGGAACAGCTGTTGCTACTCTGCAGGCACAGGGAACATTTTGTGACGAGGACTCTGTGAATATCAACAGGTTTTTAGATTGTTTTTCTCTGATTAAGGGCACATTATTATGATGTTAGCTGCTGTTGTTTATCACAGCGGCCCCAAAAGTGCTTCGCGTCCTAAAGTGAGTGCCGGCGCGTTTTCGTTCTCTTCTTAAAACGACGAGTATGAAAACGACTTTTATTTTGCGTACTGTGACTTTTTCTACAGTTTGGATTTCAAGTTTTAAACAACACTGAAAGACTGGCTGCTGTGCATCCAGCAGTCTCTCCAGCACGTTTCTCCTTTAGGAGGCCAGAAAAGGGTTCGTGTCTCCCCCCCTGCCCTCCCAGCCACACAATGACTGCTTTAATTTCCATTACTGGAGAAGCAGCCAAGCTGGAATGTATTAATATAAAGTGCATGATTCAAGTCAGAAGTACTGCAAATATTCGTTCCCCTCCACTATACAGTGTCTCCCAGTTTGAGGAGAATCTGTAACTGTGATGTCAAAGCTTAGAAACGACACATTGATATCAGTGGTCGGGACAGGCTGTAATTTTGGCCAGAGTCGAAGCTTTCAAAGTGGCGACGTCTATATTTATAAAGGCACTTTGTGTTCTAACTTTAGTGACTGGTGCTCAGCACAGCTCTGGTCTGAATATGGACACACATCCTGACACCGTGCAGCCATAATGAGCAGTCTCGATTTGTGGCAGATAACTGCCGGAAGCTTTGTCCCCACGTTTGTTCAGCCCGAGTGCAAAACCTGCAGCCAGTGCCAAGCAGGTCACCGCTTTTACACGAGGTATTTTAGGGCTCGCCGTTGAAGGAAATTCTGTGGAAGCTTAAGCAGTTCCTCATCTAGGAGTTTTAATTGGCTTCCCAGGAAAGAGAATAGCATTCATAACCTTGAATTAGGAGGCGATGTGGTAAGCTACTGTCAGCTGATTGATGGTGAGTTGAGCTGCTTATCCTGGTGCTGCTGGATTTTATTTTTAACCTGGTGGCACCTGACAGGCCCAGGGCATGAGGAAGACCTCGGGTGGGGAATGACAACAGAGAGGATCGACACATAAATCTAGGCAAATATGAAGCTGCAGTAAAAAGAAAAAAAATACTGCAGAGGGAAGATGTGGAATACGTGCTGTTGTGGTGGAAAGAGTGCTTTCTTCAGAGTGTTTGGCCTACATTTGGTTGTTGGGCACGCCTCTTACTCTTGCACTTGATGCAAATCAGGTGTTGGCTTTCATCTCAGTATTCAAGCAGGGTTTAATCACAGTGGCCGCGTCTTGTGTCGTTACTAGGAAGGCAGAAAAACAAGACAGAGCTGGCCTAATTTTTTCGCAGCACGAAGTAGCTGCGGTGAAAAATCCAAGCCCAGCTGTAGCTGATTACTGAGGGACAACGGGTTCCAACCTTTGTACCACGATTCCCCCCCCCTCACTCTCTAATATTACTTTAAATTACTTTAAAATAAAGACTCTTGCCTGCTCAGAGGACTGTGCACACTGTAAGGCAGTATTAAAGCAGTTTGCCCTCAATGGGCAAACAGTAACATATTAAGAGAAGCCTTGCCACTCAAAACAAACGCATTCTAGCCAAGAGTCAGCCAGAGGCTCGTGAGCTCTGGGTTAGAGACGTGCTTAACTGGGTAAAACAGCTTCTGCGTGACCAGACTTTATATGCTTCACTTCACTTTGTGGATCACATTTAAAAATGTTCAAATGGGGATTTCAAGTTTTATAAAGAGAAAGAGCATTGGTGTGTACTGTGACCTGGGAGGGGCTCTTTTACCCTCTAAGGGTGACTCAGTACTGTAAACTAGCAACACAAGCACTGCACATAACTTATATAGACCACGAACATCAAAAACGCACACTTTGAGAACAAACCACAGGGATTATGTGTGTGCAATAGTGTATTACAGTAACGTAACAGTGCCGGGTATCACGGGACAGCCTGTCACTCAATCAGCCTCACACCCAGTGCTGTCCCTCTGCAGTGTAACGGAGGAAGAACCGCCGTTTACGCAGCATCCCTCGCGTCGGTTATCTGTCCTTCGCTACACCACCACACTCCTCTTCCCCTATCACAGACAGGCTGTTTCCCTGTGATATGTTCATCCAACTGTTGCGCTCAAGTTCTATAAATGTTTTTTACAATGTTCACGTTCATGACTTGGCACGGAGTGGCATTGGCAGATTTTGACAACTAGATAAACTGTTCTGCATGTGATGACATATACAGTGGATTAATGCTGCCATGTTTTGGAGAACAAAGCGTTTCTACTGCCAGAGAATAAATGAATAAAAACTGGGAGGCGCTGTCACAGCAAGAGGATCTCCAGGCGGGGTCCGGAGTTTCTCCCAGTCCCCGTGCCTACACAGAATCTCTCCAGGTAGTTTAATTAAGATGTGAATCGTCTCCGTTTTCAGCTCTTCGATAAACTGGAAGTACCCTGCCTTTTGCGCCATGTAGCTGGGATAGGCCTCAGCTCCACTGTGATCCTGGACATCATAAGCAGTTAAGAAAATGGATGACTACAAACTGTAGACAACCGTGTTTAGCGACTAAAACATTTTCCAATGCTAAAAGAGAAATGCCCATTCTCGTGCACAAGTACTAACTTGTTTAGAAAGATTTGGCTTTAAGACAAAATCATGCCATCCAAAAATATGAACCAAAGCATCCCAATCAGCCCACTGGTTGATTAAAACTGGCTCTACCTCACTTAGAATCACTGCCTTTAATGTGAGCCAGACAAGCTTGTCTTTGCACATTTTAGTACACCCACCCCCCAAAAATCCAAACAACCCTACGATCCTGCACGATTGATGTGAAAATGAACTGTCAGAGTGCCTTTGACAATGTCACCACACCCTACAAAAACCTATTATTTCTCCACAGTCCGATTTCATCTCGTGAAGTTGTTCCCTAACAGGAAGTTTGGAAATGTAGTTATGCTGCGTCAGTGTTAGAGAACAGGACTGTAGAATGGAAAAGTACTTGTCGTCAATCCTGCTCGCTTCTCTGTAGCATTTTATATGAGAAGCAGGTGGAAACCAAGTTGGCAGCTTTGAAATATGGTGGTCTCAACCAGAGCTACATTTAGCTGGTGATTCAAATCCCGTGTCCCCAGCACTTCCAGTGAAATCCAGTCTGCTTACTTGGACTTTAAAAGTGGCACGTAGATTTGGCGGCACGTCTTCTCCAAGGACCAGGTTTATGACGGGGCCAATCCCCGATCAAGAACAAGGAAGAGGAGGCTAAACTCTCTGCCAATAATTTTTATTGAGATATTTTGTAGAACAGGGGAACCAATGATTACAAAAAAAGTCCGTAAGTGTTCTACATGCTACACCTTAACCTAATTTCATCATGCTTGCCTGGAAAAAGTACATAGAAATTTAAACAAAAAACAAAAAAGTACAATTAAAACTGACGTACATTATACTCACCATTAACTGTACCTTTCTCCTGCCTCCATGCACGCAACTTTTATTTTATTTTATTTTTTTACATTTGGATAAAAAAAAAATTAAGACTTTTAGGCGCTTCGTTAAACCATAAAATAATTTTTTTCTCCACTAAAGACAAAACGCACCCATTTTTTAAAAAAAAGGAAAAAAAAAAGATATCCATTAGAACAGTATTGATGGAAAATGGAAAGCCTCGACTTCAACATAACACATGAATATGCATCCTACCTTAAAACAAAAGAACACTTGCACGCCCGTATAGTGCCAAAAATGAAAATGGAAGTCTGCCCAACTCCTCAAATCTTCAATAATCACATTGAAATAACACATTTTGATAAAATAAATAGCGCACATTTTGCTAGAAATAAATAAATGATTACTGAAACACCTCACTATGTTAATTGCTAAAGTGAGACAGATTTCATCTACGCGACCACTTCATTTCATGGTATGAGGATGGTCATGTGTGTAAAGCACTAGTGCGGCTTCGAGTGTCTCTCGCGGCTGTTACCTTGAGGTAGATAACACATTTACATTAACGCCTACGATAATGGTTGCTGCTGGCATCATGTGTCAGATTTACAGTATGAAAGGGTTTTCAAGGAAGCTTTCTTCAGGGAAAAAAAAAATGTCATAAGGTCAAAGAATATTTTAAAAAGAAGGAAAAACAAAAAAAAACATGACGAACAAGACACCCCACCCCAGGAAAGGCTGTTTGAGAGCACTTTAAAACCCCACAGCAATGTTAGCGTCTACCTTCCTTCTTTATGTCACACCCAGAACGGCCAAACTTCATCTCTTAAATCCTCTCTACCTCATCCTCCCTCCTCTAGATACTTCTTTCCCGCTCCTCTTTCATCTACAGTACTTAAATGTGCGACTGACATGCCAGTATAGCAATGAGGGTGTAGACATTAACCCATGAAGGCCTGGTGATCAAGGCTCAGAGTGATGATCAAAACTCTTTAAATAAAATCACCCTTTTCGACTCTTTAAAACAAACAAACAAACAAACATAATAATAACAAAAAAAAGGTATGAAATGATTCAAGTACAGTATACCATATTATTTTTTAAAAAAAAAAGCAACATAAAAACAAAACTGCCTAGATTTTGCACTGTGAGGAAGATATACATTTCCTTAATTAAGATGTTTGAAGATGCTGCTGTACGTTTTGTGGGCAATTTGTGGGGAGCATTTGACAGCGCAGGGGGTGAGGGACGCCTGGATGGATTTTAGAGGCAGTTCATCAGTGCTGTCAAAGCCAGGAAGGGCCAGAGAGTCCAGCTGCATATTGAGCACAATCTCCGTGCTTCTGTCAAGGAAGCTCTCGTCTAGCTCTCTCACCACCGGGGACCCAATCTGCGGGCTGGCAGTCTCGGAGACGGCTTCTTCCCTCCTGCTGAACAGGTGGTCCAGGTAGCTGGTGTAAGGGCTTTCCTTCTGGAGGTGGTCCTCTTTGCCAATGTCCCAGCACGCTTCGTCTATCAAAATGCCATTCTCTCCGACCGTGTCCCCAGAGCTCTCCCAGGGGCGAGCAGGCCAGACGCAGTCCCCGCCGACCACTCCCAGCCCTCCGCCACCTAGCTGGGCGAGATTTACCAGGCACTTCTCCTCCTTCTCCTGACTTATGGACTTGGACATAGAGGTTGAGCGAGGAGCCTCGAGCTGGGAGACAGAAAAGTTGAGCTCGTTCAGGAGGCCCACCTCATTCAGGAGCCCCACATCGTTGAGCAGGGTCACCTCCTGACAGGGCTCCGGCTGCAGGCTCAGCTTGATGGTGCTGGCAATGAAGGAGTCAAAGTCAAAGCCTTGGTTCTGCTGGCTCTGAGGCTTTTCCGTCTGGTGTTTCTCTTGCACTTTGTCCTTCTCTACAGGGCTCTTCTCTGCCTCCTTTAATGCGATCTGAGCCTTTACCAGCCCGTTCTTCTCGCATTTGCTCTTGGACTTGCGGTCTGCCTTCTCCTTGCTCTGCTGCTCCTTCCAGTTGGAGAGGTCGATGATAAGCTTGGGTTCGTAGTAGTGGTTGACTTCACTGTCTCTCCAGATGAGGTTGTCCAGGTAGGAGGGCGACACAGCCTTGTAGTTACAGGTGTGGCTACACTGCAAGTCACAGTATTTGTTCTCGTGGTGGTCATCCTGCCAAGATCTCTCTAGTGGGAATGGGGTTGAGTAGTCGAAGGACGGCTCGTCCAGGAACTTCTCTCGATCTCCATCAGCATATTTACGAGGATCCACCTAGAAAAAGACAACAGCTACCTTTCAGAATCTGATCATTTAAGTCAGTACTGATTTAAATCCAATTTATATTAGTAAGGAATGAGCTCTCTTGCACCTAGCTTTTTTCAGACATGGATTAAGCCTATCCAAACAAAAATACATGTAAAATTCAAGGAAGGCCGCCTCTGAAATAATGTTTATTTATGTTAGCAATAAAGCTCAATCTATGAATGGGAACCCGGCCTTAAGGCTTTTATTGATGTATACCGCTTTAAGATCAATCCAATACTTGCATCCTTGCCCAGAATTAATCACCCTTAAGGTTCTGAAAAAGCAGTGAAAATAGTTTTGATAGTAGGTTTGAAGCGTTTGTCAAAAATAACTCACCTGGACGACCTCTTCGTCCGTTACATCGGAGAGTGCCCTTGGGTCAACCTGAACTTCGTCTGGGTCATGGGTGCTGTGCAAGTGCCAGTCAGCTTCTGAGAACTGGCTCTCATGATACCTAATGGATAAAGAAATAGAAAGACTTCATTAGCAACAGTCATATACAGACTAAGTTTGCAAATAAACTCTAGTCAAACAGTGAGAGCTGCTCACTTGCAGCAAGCACAGCAAAACAAATTCCGCTGAAGTTAATCCCAAGAGAATATGTGAGAGGGAAATAAGTGAGAAGGCACACCTGTCACAAGTGTGGCTGTGGCTCTGGTCCATGAGCAGGATATCATCTACCTCATCCTCAATGTGAAAGGGGTGCAGAGACACAGGCTCATCCAGGGGGAAGGAGTAGTCAGCCATATAGGGGTGTGCCAGGGCCTCTTCCGCAGTCAGACGATCCATGGGGTTAAAGGTCAGGATCTTCTCCAGGAAATCAAGGGCTGTAAAGGAGAAGGACAATGAGATTATCAAGCTGGAAATACGAGATGTGATCTATGAAGTACACGACCATGACCCTGGGTTCACAAGCACTTCATAAGGCTCCAAGTACTTCTGATTAATTAAAGTGGTACTTACCCTGCGGACTGACATCAGGCAGCAGTTTGGCCAATGGTGTGTGAGGCTTGGTCATGTCATTGCGGATAAAGACGGGAATTACGCTATGGAGCTCCTGGCGGTCTTCGTCTCGTAGTACAGGGATTGACTCCAGGATCAGCTGCATCTGTTCCAGTTCGTGAGCTCCTGAAACAGCAAACAGAAATATTATGGAGTTTTTTAGAAGAGAACCCATGACTCAACTTCTGCATGACTGAGGGAGTTTGAGTGAGGCAGCCTCGATTCCCATGATCTGCTTCAGATCATGGGAATTGAGATTTCATTTGCCTTGTGGTCAGCTCAAGGCTGTTTTAACAAGAACAGTCTCTCCCTGCACCGGCCGAATACGCAAAGTCAAACCAGACTGTCTGGTTTACCATGTGTTTAACAAACAAAATTAGCATATGTGTCATCACACCTATACTTGACATTTAACTCTGTCACTTGAGCCACCTTAAAGACTGATTTTACACAAGGTGTGAGGAGTGAGTCTGACATAACAAACTGAGTCAACATTTACCTGCAAACAGGGTTTTCCCTGTGAGCATCTCAGCAAAGATGCAGCCAGCAGCCCACATGTCGATGGCTTTGGTGTAGTTGTTAGGAGAGAGCAGCAGGCGAGGAGATCTGTACCACTTTGTGACAAGACCTTCAGAGAGATGGCCCTGTCGTGGTGGGAAACCAGACATTAATTGTAACCCTCTAAAAAATACATTACAGTACTGGAAATAGTGCAGCATTATCATTATTATTATTATTGTTATTATTATTTTTTTATGAGTGACAAGTTACTTTCAGTTTGTTTTCATTCAGAGGTAAGATGCTCATAAGTCTGCAGTGATTCACAATAAAAGCTATGTAGAGCTGGGCGATAGAACGATAACGACATGTATCGCGATATAACTTTTACCCGATAGAGAAATTAAGCTATTGCGATAGACCTCGCCGCTCTTGTCCTCAAAAAAAAATAAATAAATAAAAGGTCAGCCAATCCAAATTAAGTAGCGCAGAGCCGAACCAATCACAGCCGCAGCGTCACGTCGCGTGACTTGTTACGTACAGCACAAGTGCCAAGCCGCAGTGTGTTTGTTTGGGAAGCAGCCAGCGGGTAATGGAGCCAGCGCGTAATGGAGGAAATGAGTGTGCTGACTAGAAAAATCAACCGAGCGTGACCGAAGAGAAAACAGATGATGGTTCCAATGCCGGAGAGATTGTCAAACGGAAGAGCCATAGAAGTTCCGTAGTGTGAAGGTATTTCGGCTATTTCAAGTCTGACAAAAAACAGTAGCGTGCACTGTAAATTGTGCCGAAAGCAAGTCTGGAAATACAATAAACTGGTGCATGCGTCACACTGTGCGCCACGTTATTGTTTCGGTGAAATGAATTTCTACAATACTGTTAATTCTACTCTCTGCAGTGTTTAAATGCTTACATATACACACAGTTACTGTCCGTCCACACATACGACTCGGTTCTGCTTCTATGCCCCAGCTTTGTTTACTTTTTCCCACCGAGGCTTCTAGACTTCTGATTGGCCAACATTTCGGCACGGTTAGGAATCTAGCTCCACCTGCTGCTTTGGCATGTTCATAGCAGCGTTTTCCTTCATTTCTGCCTTTATGTGTGGACGGGATTATTTTTTAAAACGAAAACGGAAAATCTCAGTTTTCAAAAATACCCGTGTACGTGTGGACGTAGCCTCAGTCTCTGACTGGAAGCGCTAATTCGTCATTCGGCTTTTGTCAGACTAAAGTAACTGTTAACACTGTTTGAAAAGCTAAGATATACAACAAGGAGAGATTGAGAATTTCCTTTTAGTTCTCAGTTTATTTGATATTGACAAAAGTTAGTCAGTTTTGTCTGTTCTTCTGTAAAACAAACTAAGATTTATTTTTAGAATTAATATTTTGTTTCTAAGTGGAATTGACAATTTAGTCTGTTTCGTTTGTTCTACTTTGAAACTTAAACGCTTTAGCGGCTGCCTTTTGTGTAGTTTGCAAGTTTGCCTTTATTTATCTGAAAAAGTCTCATGTTCCTTAAGTACATCTACCCTGTTGAACTTATTATGGGAAATAAATATTTAAATAAAAACAAGCTGCTGATTATTTCACATTTTACTTGTGAGCAACGGCACATTTAAATCTTACAAATATAGTTATTTGGCTTATATCGTGATAGATATCGTTATCGCCTGAAATGAAAAAAACATATCGTGATATGAAAAAATCTCATCTCGCCCAGCTCTAAAGCTATGATTACCCTTGTTTCATGTACCTCCACGTTTGCCACACAATACAGGTAACAGGAGATGTGACACTATCCTGCAAGTCTGTGCTAAACATTCAGAGCCCTGTGCCATCTCCTTAACAGCCGTACTCTGTGCTGGTCACGTACACCACACAGCATACAAAGACCCCCCGCCCAAAAAAGAAGAGACCAATGAAAAGAGGGGAGAGCAGGCCATGTCAGCAGTCTGAGCAGGATAATACCCCACTGCCACTAACCTGCACTCAAACAGTGCCTGACTAGTCACAAGGCCAGGAGGGCACCAAGCATAAAGGAAGCTGACCTCTGTATGTGTGTCTACACACTCAATGGGGGGAGGGGGAGTGGTAAAACAACACCCTTGCTGCGCTCTTTTCCCCCCCCACATGGAGTGGTAGTTTGTGGGACCAAAATGGACTGCTCACCACTGTGGGAGGCTCCCATTTCTGCCCAAATTTAGCCACAAATACTTGATGTCATCCTATCCTTAAGTGCCTGCAAGCCCTTGTTTTGATGGGACCTATAAATGACACGACATGTATTCCTTCCTACAGGTAACCAGCTAATCCGTCTGTCCGAGAGAAGATTGTAAAGAGGTGGGGGAAATTAAGAGATAGTCTGGCACATAGACAGGTCATACCTAGTGACTGGGACCAGAACCCATTCTGAGAAGCAGCTGGTAAAGCCGACCTGTGAGATTGTGTTTACGGGGGAGAAACACACACAACCAGCTTAACAGAGAATGTAAATTAGGTTAGCTTGAAAGAGTCATTGCAGAGAGTAAGGACAATGCGTAATGGACTCTGAACTAAAAGGAACAGATTAAAGTTTGCCTACCAGCTAAGTGCATAAAGTGCATTAGGTGAACCTTCCAGCTCAATTCTTTTACAGATTTTCAAGCGGACCATTCACCATAAAGCTTTAAAGCATTAACAATGTCAGTACCTCCAGCAGCAGCTGGTGAATAACTTCACTACTGGATCTACAACAGCTCAGGCTGACATTTAATGATTCACAACTAGGCCTCTCCATGTGACAGGCTGTGGTTCGTCAGAGCAACCTCAAGCAGGTTTAACCAGATGTCAGTAAAGGTGGCTTCTGGAGAATCAGAAAGATCCTCCCCCACCTCCCAATCCAGGATAAAGCTGTTGACCGAAAAATAAGTAATCAATTTTGTTGCCAATACAGATTCACTTCCGAGTTCAACTGTCAAGTACTAAATGAGGAGGATGTGCGCCTAATAAATAAGACAAAAAAAACATTTCCATCTGGATCTTTGGCTTCTCTGAATAATTTGTGATACATCTGCTTGCTGCAGAACAAGATTAAACTACTGTTTAAAATCAAGAAAGTACAGGGTGGAATAATCAAAACCAGCTCTCTAAAACTCATTGAGCCTGAAGTCAACTTTGCTGCATTTATTCTGAATCTTGTAAAGTCTGGCACCAGACAGGCCCAGTGGTAGCTAAATAACTGGGTCAAGTATGCTTTTTATTGCAGCTGTGGCTTAGAATTGTTCACTTTGATGAATGTGTGGCAGAAACAAACCTTGTGAAGGTCTTTTATAACATTCCTAACAACGTCACGGCTATCACCTCTATAGCATCTCAAATTACTGAAAATTATACCAAACCACAGGCAAGCACAAGATCACACTTTTTCAATATTCAATAGTCTGACAGGCAACATGCAAACAACTGTTTCCACAGCACAAAATTATGCGAATGTCTGACAAGTTTGCCACTTTTTTCTAGGCGTCATAAAAAGACAAACCTTTAAATGGTTTGCCAAGCCAAACGATCTCTCAGTGATAAATCACAAGAATAGCGAAGACTAGACTGGATGTCACTTCTAGAGAATGTATTTTTGACACACTCAAACTGCTTAACTTAGACACACAGTAAAAATTGTTAAAGCCTCAGCAATTCTTGTTTAGAACTGTTAAAAGCTTCTTTGACTGACTTTTGGTTCAGCTTAGTCTCTAGCTAAAGTTTGGGACAAGACTGAAAGCGAACGCAGGCTTTAGATCAGCTTCAAATAAGGCTCTGAGCAAGGCTCCCACAATGAGACAAAGGGCTGGCTGGGAAAAGGAGGGGAACTGGGGTTGGAAAAGTTGGATGAGTACACGTGAATTTTTGTCATTCTTGAGTATGAGCTACTATTAGGCGAGACCTCAAAGCTCACAGAGACAGAAACTGTTTCCCCACAGAAACAGGTAGTTGTGCTTAAAACAAAGCTATGCAGGATTATTAAAAGCCTAAAGGGAACCATGAGCTGTTGATGTCTTTTAGCCAAGGCATTATAAGAAAGAAAAAGCGTGGGAGGAAAGGATTAAACAAACGCCTGGTGAATGCACCACTGATGCATGAATCCAAGATCACATTACCGAAGCTAAACTAGAAACTGAAGTTCACTTGAAAAATAGAGCTGTTTTTTTTTTTAGAAATGATGTTATTCAAATACATTGCACTCCAGCACTGCGTCTCGGACCCTGTGCTCTAAGTAGAGGGTGGTCGTGAAAGAGCATTTGCCCCCCAGTGAATGTGGCATGTGGTCAACAGTAAAACCAACTGTTTTTTTAACACCTTCACGCTGTGCCACTGGTGTGTTATCTGGGGGTGCCAAGTTCATTTTTAAACACGCCTCATTTGTTCTTAGACACTCACTTTAAATGAGTCTAGGAGCCATAAAAAGGTGGTTGGTAAAGATACTAGCTTAACTTTGCCCCTTGGTACAGCTATTATCACAAAAACAATGAAAAAACCCAAAACAAAAACAAAACAAACAAAAACACAGTAAGGAGAGCTTCATGGAAAACCAGTTAGTCAATCTGACTATAGCGTTTCCATCTTTGAGCAAAACAGCAGTAATCTGCTGCAGTACATCTTTGAGCTCTGACCCCAGGCAAGCAGCTTAAGGAGGGAAAAAATAAAAACTCTAAAGCATCTGGCCTGCTACAGACACTAAACTGTGAAGCTCTCATTCCTTCCCAGCAACTATTACCTTACTCTTCCTAGTGCACAGTGACATACTGTCTCAAAAGACATGACTCATATGAAAACAGTCAGAGCTGAAAATGTGACTACATGACCAAAACGCAGTTTTCGTATTTAACTGGCAATTAAGCCAGTTATGGTAAACAAGGGTGCGTAAGTCTATTTCGAGGGATGCATTGTGTGGCAGGAGCCTGGATGAGTAATGGATATGAATGAGACAGTACCATCCAGTGAGATCACCCATCACTTGAGCCCCATTTCCCTTCTGTGACTAATCCGAGACACATGCAAGCATCTGACCACCTTAGCGCCTCAAGAAGATCCGGGCAGAGACACAGAGGGAGGGACAGGCTTCCCAACCTAGATTTCCTCACATTACACCACCATATGGCCATCAACTGGAATTTCCTCATCCCTTTATAAAGGTGACAGCAACACACAAGAGCTACACAGGCCTCCCACGTGGCTGCAATTACACAGGCTGATCTATACTCTTCTCACACTGAAGACAGAAACAGCTTCTTTAATGCTACAATTACATTGCTTCACAGAACAAAGGTGGTTTTATAGAAAGCATTAAAATGTGTGCATTCAACAGATGGCGTGCCAGCATTTGGCTTTCTAAGCACGTGTTTACAGTAAGCATCTTTCAGAAACCAGTGAAAAGCCATGAACAAAGAAAACAGCAAGGGACACAAATGTCTTCACTTCTAAAAGTCTCATGCATGAGAATTTGCTTATTGGAGCAATGACCTCATGCAAAGAGAACTCATGCAAAGCATCCTCCTTTCAGATGTAACAAATCCTCAATTTTTATTTTTTAAGAGCAGGATGTCCACAACAAATTTTTGCAGCCTCAAGCCTTCGTCAGTTTTCTCTAAAAGCTGATGGAGGCGCAACGTTGAACTCTTCCGGTTTTGTGTCATTGTGAAAACATTACTACACCCCCCCCCCACACACACACACACAGATCCTATTGTAGCACGTCTTAATTAAGCCACATTATCACAAACTAATCTCCAATTCTTATCGTCTATACTTTTACATAATGGAAAAAAATGTTTCCCACGGCTTTGTTTTCAACCCTCACTTATGAGAAGGGAAGGCGAGGCCTTACCTCAAGGAACCACATCCTTTCTAGCTCACTTCCTGCTCAAAAAACTGCGTCACCCTGGGGAGTACCACATTACTGGGCAATAAACATCTCGTGTCAGAGCAGCAGAGCACTCGTATATGGGCAAAGAGTTCACCAGCGCTGCTATATTTGTTCTGCTTTGCGCTGTAGCCTGTGCTGCATTATAACCACCCATCATAAACCACAGCAGACCAGCAAAACTCTGCAATTGGTCTTACCTTGTGAGAGTAGTGAGGGTCCATAATGCGTGCCAGTCCAAAGTCCCCGATTTTAAGTACCAGGTCCTCCGTGTTGACAAACAGGTTGGCAGGCTTGAGGTCACGGTGCAGCACATTGGCAGAGTGGATGTATTTAAGGCCCCTGAGGAGCTGGTACATGAAGAGCCGGGCGTGATCCTCTGAGAGAAGGCCCCTCTCCAGTAGCTGACACAAATCAGTCTCCATGTACTCTTGCACAATGTAGACCGAGTTGACCTCCGTAAGAGACACCACATCCTCTGTTAGCCTGCGACCACTGGGGCCCAACGTCTCAAACACCTAGTTCCATAAAAAGGAGGGTATGTGTTGATCATGAAGTCTTTTCATTTTCTATCACAGCCAGATAAAAAAAAAAGATAGCAACGTTTTCTTTTTTTTTTTTAAACTTTGAACCTCCCAACATACCTTGACAATGTTGTCATGGTCGAGGCGTCTGATAATCTTGATTTCCCGGAGGGCGTGCTTGACGCTCTGGGGGTCAGTCAAGATAATTTTCTTCACGGCTACACGCTTGTCACAGTCAGTGTCAACTGCTGAGAACACGAGGCCATTCCCTCCATAGCCCAGAGGCTTCAAGTCCATGTAGCGAGAACCCAGGTCAAAGCCGTGGATGTTCATCAATGACTCAAACTTCTCTGCCATGACTTTTTGTTTTTGTGGGCTTCTACACCAAGCTTCTGCTATCTCTAATGTTAATCCTCTGGCCCGTTTCAAGCCCAATTTTCGCACTTAACAGAGGAATCCCCGCCCCCCCTTGCTTCAGAGGTTCCGCTGACCGCTGTACAGACGACTACCAAGTCACCCCCTCTAGCTGTCACTGTCAGATGCAAGGTTTTAATGTGTAGTCAAAGTTTCCTTCCATTTTGAGTAAGGAGAGAAAATTTTAAAGTTGAATTCATCCTCCAATCCTGAATGTGTGGATATATTTAAATGAACAGCTCTAAGTAAACTAGTGTTTGCAGACGGCAAATGGAATGGTCTGTGAGGCAAATTAAAGCGCACTGGCACGATCTTAAACTATAAAAGCACGTAATTGCATCCTCACAGTGCAAATACATTCAGTGTATGACTGGTCCTGAGCAGCTTCATGTGAGTAAACGCACTGCTAATTCTTTTCTTTCTTTCTTTCTTTCTTTTTTTCCTTTGTAAATATATGTATAGATCTGTCTGTGTAGTTTTCCTGTCAATTCACGTCGTCTATAAAAATTGAAATGAGTCTGGCCTTTAAGTCTCTAAAGTAATTCCTCAGCCTCAATGATCAGGTGGCTCTAGCTCGCCACAGTCGCAATCAAAACTATCCTCCATTTTACTTGGATATAACCTGAAAGACAAAGAAAAACAAAACAAAAAATAAGTGTGAGAACACATGTATTGTGCCAGAGCAAACTGGGTTTGAGCCCATCATTTGACACATTGTTTCCGTCTTCTATGAAGATGTCTCACTCTGTAAGGCTGACATGTGTTAGGGATTTCCATTAAGCAACAAGCTGCCTCGCTCGGCCGGCTTTTGAACGCGGTGACATTACGAGAAGCTAACCCCTCCCCCGCTCCAGTGACGCGCCTGCTAGTCCGGTTTTCTAGGTATCGTTAAAATTAAAGAGATAACATTTAGAAGCTTCACGAAGATCAGTATCCACGAGAGTACACGAATACTACACATTAAAGACGAATAACCGTGTTCACAGCGCCTACTTTTGGCCCTCGCCCGGTCTCTGTTGACTAGCTCGCGGGGGAGAAAAAAAAAAGCGAAGAATGGCAGAGTAAAGGCAAGCAAGCGAGAGACCGCCGTTGATCTAATTTAGAACATAACCACGACCACCCTTTGACGTTAACATGAGCTAAATTATATGTGGAAAACATATCTCACTACATCACTCATTTTATATACTTAAAAAAACCATCAAGCCAGCGAGAAATGTGCCGACAGCGCGAACAAAGGGGTCGTTGTTGGCGGAGGCTTCTGACTACGTGGTACAGCTTTCCTAGCGCTAAGCAGCACAAAGCCGACGTCGATTAAACGGCTCGAATAACAGCGAATCCAACATAACATGTACATAATAATCAGAATCTATATATAACATGTTACTCACGGTCCTTGTTTGTTGCATTAGGCGGGCTATAGTTTTAATCAAACCCAGACGAGGTTTGACTGCGATCCGCTCCCGGTGCTATGCGGATCTGTTGCAATCGCCATTTAGGCTAGGTAGAGAAAGGCAGCAGCGACGTCACAAGGCCACCTTCACTGACTGTCGGAAAGTTGTCTACTACGACTACGAGTCTTCAACAAACAATTTATTTTTACTTATTTGTTGTTTTCCCCAGCTTTTAGTTGCATACTAGCAGTTATTTACAAATAAATATTCCTGATTTATTTTTAAAATTATTATCAACCCACTATTACATTGATAGAGTACTGTAATTATCTCTAGTTCTAATACCCTAACCCCACTCTGGGTTCACTGGGTTCATTATTCAGACAACAGCATGCAGTGAGTTGGCACTGCTTCATAAATAATGAAGTTTAACTTAGATCATTTGCATTATTTCTAAAAATCATGAATTAATCACCTCATGTTTCTGATCATTTTTATTATCACAGAAACACAACTGTGTCATATTACTCATAATACATGTATTGATATTTTAGCAGTGTAATGAACAATTAAGTTGGTAAGCAGCTGAAATGTCAGCAACTGGTGATTGAATTGGTTTAAAAGAAATAAAAATAAAAACACAAAAAATAATCTATTGTTTCCAGCCCAGAACTTTGACAGTCAGATATATCTGTATCTATATTTATAGGTGGAGCTGTATGCTTCGAGCAGTACTTGAATACAGCAGGAATCATTCAAAACATTTGAAGTTGGAGTTCATTCCAACTCAGTGTTTGTGTTTATAGTCCAAGTGATAGCAGCACTGTACCACAGGCAACCTCACCATCACTTACCTCATTATCACCTCTTGATGCATGCAAAGTTCAACCAGCCGTAACTGCAGGCCATTTTATAATAGACCAACCCCCAGAAGTAACAAACCTCTAGAAAGAGTTTTTTGTTTTGTTTTGTTTTTTGTCACTTGCTCTATTATGCAACGTAAAATGAGGATGCCACAAGATAATGGACCAGGAAGAACATTCTTTACCCAGCCTATTTGATCTCCTATCTGGAAATCTGGGGGGTGGAAATACTGCATTATAACCTGCAGAGCAGATACAGCTGTTCATTTTAGTTGAAACACCTCAGTGCATCATTTGCTTACACTTTGCTCTTTAGTATTTTACATTTAAAATTTGAGTTGTCCTCCAAATAGAAAATCATTGCCTATTTATTGCCTCTCAGAATTTCTGTTGATAAAGCGTCATCCCTCTATTTTCCAACCATTGTTAAATTTTACTCAAGGCAGCATCAATAGTACGAATGGTATTATTTGTCTTTTCTTTGCAAAACGAAGCTGTTTTCTAGCTTTTTGTTTCATTTTATTTATTTATTTTTAGTGACGCGCAGTAGTGGTCTTGTCAGTGACTTAAAAAAAAAAAAAACCCGGACAGGTCACTCACATGCGCCATGCGGATTTACTCCCTTTGGCACCGACAGGGTGTTTCTCTTTTAGCGGCCCGACATCACGTCACATCAGATCTCCGCGAGGATTACACATCCCGAGGAAAAGAAGTGAAGAAATCAAATACGGCACTGATTTGATTCCCTCATTCTACGGATGGTCCCGCGGAGCGCCCGGTCCTCCCTCTCTGTGGATGCTGTGAATGGAGGGATGGAGAGGGAACGGGTGGGTGTGCAGGAAGGAGCATCATAGCCGCAGAAGTCTACATCAGCATCCGCATGCAGACCATGTGAGTGCCCATGTGTCCGACAATGCGGCTGGCTCTTACGGGCCGGGGTGGGCTCTGCGATGGAGAGAGAAACTACATGCTGCCGGAACGTGATGCGACTGAGAGAGAGAAATGTTGGGAAAAGACATGATATAGTTCACCGCTGCTCTGAACATCAGATTACGATTGGGCTATATGTTACCCCGTCCATTAATGCTCCCAAAGACGTAGAGCTATGTAATTACGTATTTTTATCAGCTATATTTTAAAAGCATAAAGACCTAGCTGAGGTGTATTTATTTATTTATTATTTGTTGGTTTGGTAAATCTATTATTTATAAGCGGCTTTTCTAGAAAAGATGAATGAAACTGCCTTTAGAAATTGCATTGAGTGTGCTTGTAAAAAGTGATGCAAATGTTCAGGTAGCAGCTTCACTGTCTTTGCTCCAAGTCACTTCCTTTGAGCTGATCAGGTAGAAATCAGAAAGAGAGAACTTCTCTTTACTGACATCTAGTCCTTTTGCACTTAACTCACTGATTGTGTGCGATATGTTGTCCCTCACCCCCACGAGTGCTCTTTTCTCTGTTGTATAGAGCCAAGAATGGAGGTCAGAAGATAAAGTCACATATTGTGTCTTTCATGAGACCCTGCCCTCACGTTTTGATCACGTTGGAGACAGAAGATCCGGACTTCTGTTACTTACATTTCAGTTATTAATGATATATCTCCGCAGGGTCATTACACTCTGTGCTCCGGGCTTCCTCTCTTTTATCATGAGATATAAGAGAACTGTTTCTCCAAGTCTTACACCGAAACGTCCGACTGAGATGTTTTTAATTTACTTCTGTTTCTGCCAGTCTTTTAATCATTGGCCCAACACAAACACAGCACTATTGCAGTCCATCAGTGTTGTTTGCTGCGCACAGAGTGTCTCATGTATGGAAAATGAGTGTGTGCACATGCTGTCAACCTGCTTGCAACAGTGGTAAGAGTCTCTTACTAAAACACACACTTTCACCTTTAAAGAGTATCTGAGTTTATCTCAGCTCCATTTCTGGACATTGCTATCCTCCTGCATGCATCCCCTGTTTTCTTATGTTGAACCTGTTCTTCATTTATACAAAGTCTGCACAAAAACTAAAATGTCCTCAGCTCTTGTCACTCTCAAGCTTGCTCATTCCTTTATGAAAGAAAAAATCTTCTGATCTCTTACCATGGCTGAAATTCTCCAGTGACGAATGGAGCAACATGGTGCCTGAGTCAATAGTCCATTCAGAAGAGTATGTTTTATGTCCGTCACTCCTAGTCCGAAAGGCAGAAAGCTTGAAAGACCCAGTGCACTCCACCGTCCGTTTATATGTGTGTGAATGTATTCTCAGAGCCTTGGCGGTGTGTTATCCTACTCCATGTGCCTCTGGTTGTGAGGTGGAGCTCCATGGAAAGTTAATATAGGCCAAGCCGGAGAGGGGAGGAGACTGCACTGTGTATGGCTTGGCCTTAGACAGAGCAGTGTGTCAGACACACCGAATCCACCTTTCTCTGTCTCTCTCTCTCTGCCACTTTTCTTACTCTTTTCTCATTCTTAAAAAAAATCCCTGTTATTTTCAGACCTGCTCACTTGTATTTTGTAAAAAGAAAAAGAGTTAATTATCTGTAGCCTGTCCTGAAATAAACTGTTGCTTCTAGGCAAGCCACTCAGGAGTTATTTGTCTTTTTTTTTCTTAAAAAAAAAAAAAAAAAACAATTTGCTTAAATGGGAGAAAACTGTTTTTGGTCACACATTTCAAACCTTGACTATCAAGTCATTGTTTGCAGACAACCAGACTAGATACATCTGCACAAAGAGACCCTTTTATGTGTGGGCATGTGGTGTATCCTTGGATGTCCTCTGGGTTTATTGCTCTCTTTCATTGTCTGTTTCAGTAAGGGTGTTCGTGAACTTGTGAATTTACAAATGCCAGACATCAGTCTCTGCTGATTCTACAGGAAAAATCATTTCCAGTTTTTCTCTTGCCCCACAAATCTGGTTTTGCCTTCCCTGAAACCTGTGTCTGTTCTCTGCCTAATCACAGCATCTCCCCAGGTCTGCTACTTTTTGGCGGTGCTCCTTCCTCTGTCCTGTCTACTTGTCGTGCAGCACGTCCTGGTGTCTTGACAGGCTGGTATGTTTGGACTGTAAGGAAATACGTGCATGCACATTTGTTTGATATCCAAACCAGACCGTTGCAGAGTCTGGACCAGCTGTATGTTATCAAAAATATGCATGTGAGAGCATGAGGTCAAGCTGTGGGTTAGGGGTTGTTTGCCTATATTTTGCTTTCTAAATCGTCACTTGTTTGCGAGGAATTAATCAATGGAGTGTAGTGCTTATGCTGCAAACTTGTGCGCTGCCATGAGCATTGCCTGCGCGAGCAATGCTGCGCTCACTTGATAAACAGCATTGATTAATTAATCACTGATTACCCTGCCTGAGTGCAGTGAAAAACCGTTACATAGCGCAGCTTACAGAAGCAATAAGTCCTGCTCTCGGTAGACTGACCAGCACTAATCTCTGATGCTTTTCACTACAGTGTCCTCTGTTATATAACAGTCTGCCTCACCGGAGCTCAAACTAAGGTGCAGAACGGCTCACAAAGGAGTTTCAACTCCCGCACCCTTGTAAATGACCATATGACCACAGGACGTGTACAGCAGCTATAGTCTGGTATTTCACAGTGTTGTGAAAGAGGCTGTGAAGTGTTTGTCATTGTGTCTCCAGTGCAAGGGGCAAATGTGTTTATGCAATGGCATGACTTGCATATCTTGACAGAACAGGTAGTTCTGTGTTTTAAAACCTTTTTTTTCCCTTTCGTGTATGATCACTTTATTTCCAAAGCTTGTTGTGTTTAAATTGAACTGAACTTCACTGCTGCACTGCTGCTCAAAGGTAAAGCAGCCAGCTGTATTGGAAAAAGCACATTTCATGCATACAGGTAGTTTTGGGGTGCTGTAAAAAAAACAAAACAACACAGAACAAGTCAACAAATGCACTTTTTTGAATTTAAAAGGAAAAAACTTCAACTTAAAACCACATGAGGGCACAATAAAAAAAAGTATGTTTATATAAAACTGAACAATAAAAATAATAATCCACTGACGCTAGAAAATCCAAGTGTTTGTGAACTGTCGGTCTGTCTTCAGTCTGGATTAAAGGAGCATATTTAACGACACTTAAGTTCATGTCAAGGACAGATGAGTTCTCATCCAGCTGTTCAAACAATTTACTCCAGCCGGAGATTGTTAGTGGGATGTGACAGTACGATTACGCAAGACACAATAGTGCCACCACCACTAGCATGAAAATCAGGCTGTTCTTTTTATTTCGTGGTTCAATTCTAAGATGAGACCACACCATGTGAAGCGTGTCTTCAGTATCAAATCAGCTTTGAAATTAAAAGATTGCAGAATGATATCTCTAGTGATTTTTAAATTAACACAAATTTCATTCATCGTATCAACCGCATGACCAAAAAGTGTGTCAGAATGAAATCTCTGCTTTCCACAAAAGATAGATTTTAAATAAGTCAGAAACTAGAACTGCGTGTCTGCAGATCATAAATGTGTAATCGTTTTGTTTTTTTTATCAGCATCTTTTCAGTGCTGTATTTTTGGAAGCAAAAAGTGCGATGAAATGCGAGGAGAGGAAAAGACTATCTGCCTTTCCTTTTCTTTT